TTGAGAAAACCTTTATTCACTTTTTGAGCATCATGGCTTTTATTACCAACGTTGATGAGCTTCAAGCTCTTTTGGATGGTTGTTCCTCGACCCACGATTTGGAATTATTGCTGGAATCTATTTTGATACCCGATGAGTGGATTCCAATGGCGCATGCTCGGCTGTCGGAACTCACCGCCCAAGAGATACCGGTAAGTATTCTATTCCCTCTCTTAGTTCTTTCCTGATGACGATTAACGTTTAATTTGTACGGTGAAATAACGAGTATTCATTAATCTTTACTTAACGTTCTACTCCACAGATTGAAACGAACCAGGATAATGAGAGCGATCAATCCAACGAATTTTATCAGCGCGAGAATGTCGTAAGTATATTTTGCCTAAGTTTATGTCAGTTTAAGTTTAAATAGAAAATTGATCTTTAGTCTTTCTCGTTTACTATAGATGCCAGGGGAAGTTAACACGGGTGTCGAAGTCAACGAGATACTGAGCGATTCGGTAAGTTTTGAAAAACGACCTTGAGTAATTTTCTGTAACCCAGTTTTCACGCATCATTTATGTTCGTTATGTTAATAGACTCGACTTGGGTTAGATTTGCACTTGACCTATTAACCTGCTCGCGTATCTTTTGTTATCTTCGTTAATGAAACAAAAGGACTTCTAAACTCGATTCGCTTCAACGTTTTGTAGACAGTTGTCATATAATACTCATCGAATATGTTTCCTTGCTTTACAGTTTACAACTGAAGAAATGCAGACCGTCAATGAGATGGAACGCATAGCGCTAGACAAGGTAACTCCATTTCCTTTTTAATACGCAACGTAAATGATTTGTTTAGTGATGAAACAACATTACGAATCTCCTTATTCGTTCAATGCCCACCTATTTCTTAAAATGAGCGAGATTTGAAAACCTAAAGTAATCTGATTTCTTCTCTTCTTATCTAGAACAACAACGAGTCGGCACCGTTATCAACGCAAGATACATGGGATAATTTCTTGGACGAAGTAAGTTTTTTCATTTCATGATCATAGAATTATTTTTCTTTCATTGAACGCAGTGTTCTTTGTGCGCTAAATCTTACTTTGTTATCTTTTATTCACTTGCAGTGGAATGGCGAAGCCAGTGAATTGCCGACTTGGGATCCATTGGAAACAGTAAGTCATCTTTCATTTTCACTTGTTTAAAATACACTGAGTGCAAACGTTCCTATTAAAGTTTTTTGAAATGTATACCGTTTGAAAATTAAATTGTTTAGGCTCACCCAAAAAGTCAATATCATTCATTCCTTCGTTTAAGAGTCAGAAGAATATAAAACTTACATTTGGCTTGCTATTCATGATTTTGAAGGCGTAAATAGTTTATTCTCAGTTATCGATTCCACTTTTCACTGACCAGATAAGTGAATTCCTTTTTGTGGATGATTGCACGCATAAGGAAATCTATTCTGTTCCTTTGCTCAAAATAAAAACAAAGCATTTGCTCAATGTAGTAATATTCTTCAGTCATCAAACCGAGTTGAAGAAAATAGACAGCGTATTATATACTCAAACAGGTATCAGAGCAATTTAAGTTATTTCCACTAAGCAGATGAACATAGCAATATAGCGGTTTAACATACGTCAGCATAATAGTACCCGCGGGATTATCTCTGAAAAGTCAATTATGTCGTGGATGAGTAGACATTAAATTAAATTTATTCTGTTGATTCAACATCAAAAACAAACCACCTACCCAGTTGTTGAGACGCTCATTGTAGACAAATAGAGTTTATCGGGGTTTCTTGTTAATTTAGCTTTACACTAAGACTAGGTCATATTCACTAATTATAGGAAATTCAATCCGGGGATGGTCACCCTCCACCAGCCAAAAAGCCTCGTAAAGAACATCGTTGTGACACCTGCGGCAAGACCTACTCTAGGCCTACTCTGGGACCTTAACTCGCCTTAACTCGCTGTAACTCGCAACTTGAGATTATGTTCAAATTTCCTTATCTCGCCTTAACTCGCCTAAACTCGCATTATCTCGCACAAACTCGCCCAATCTCGCCACTGCCAAGTGGATACCAATTTTAATATCTCATCCTACTCTCAGTGTAATTTCACAATTACTCCATAAAGGGAAGATGCCAAAGAATACAAATTTCAAAAGTTTAAAAAATAGTGATTTTTAAGGAAAACAGGGTTTTTACCTTTAAAAAAATATGTACTTGACCAATCCCATCCTTCTGGAATTTCCAATAGCCTCTGTGGTAAGGGTATTTCACCACTAAAGATTCGATGAGGTTTTTCTTACTTAACATTGTCATGCCTTGGAGTCACAACTGGACTGTCAATGGAACTACCAGGAACAGCCTGAACATGCACTAACTCGCTGCCTAAGAAAAGGCTTCAATGCTAAGCATGGCAGAAATTCCAGAGGCATGGGGTCACAGGGTCTAACAAATCCCACATTCACTGTTTGTGTTTTGGTCCACAAAGTAAGTGACATTAACTAAAAGCACAAACAGTGAATCCACGAAAACGTTTTCAAAAAATAGTTTAAGTTTTAGTCTTACACTTCTACGCAAGACAAAGAACACTCTAAATTCAAGATTGCTTTGAATCTCTCAATTGAAGAAAAAATATTCTCCTATGATTTGTTTCTAATTTTTGGCTTAAAATAAGAAATCTTGAATTTAGAGTGAAATACAAAAACATAATACCAGAATATCAAATTTTTAGTTTTAAGCTGGTTAATGATTTACAAAAAAAGTTTACTTGTAAGATCTTGTAATGGAAAGTTTAATTACTTTGCAAATATAATGCATGCAAGCTGTTTATGACATATGAAGAGTAGTAGCATACGTATCATCTTATAATCTGATGAAGCTTAATAAGGATTCCAGCTGACAATCATCAATGAAAGGCTAGGATGTAGCCAGAATCGAGAATCCTTTAAATAGTCCACATACTGATTGCAGTCCATATTTCTTATAAATAATTCTTATAAATATTTACCTCGTACTAGAAGATCTGTACATTGGTTCAACGTGACATCCTGTATGGCCTACATTGTAGTCAGACTGGCAACCATAACCCAGGCATGATTCAGAAGACTTGTTACATTTAGCCCTTAACTGAATAAAGGATTGCTAAAGGTACAATATTTTGCATTGATAGCCAACTTCATTCGCCATCTTTGAAATTACCCAGAAGATACTGGTAACTCGTGTCTTCCCAGGGCCCTCTCGCTCAGCCTATTGTCCTCGATATGCGTTCTGGGTAATTTTCAAGATGGACGGGAAAACTTCTGAAGAAAAGGAGGAGAACTCGTGCAAAACTTTTGATGTTAAATCGAGAAGTTTCAAAATGTATCACATGCAGGTAAGCTAAGCTAAAGCCTTTTACCTTTGCAACGTTAACTCTATAAAAGCCTTGTTGATCCCAGTCCACTGGCAAGTTTTAGGTTGGAAGCTTCAATGTGGCGTACGTGACATGAAAACACGCACAAAACGGCTGAGCCGGTGATCATTTTGTAAAAATGCGAAGCAGGAAAGATTCATCAGTGACAGCTCTTAAGAGTTTGGAAGACAAAGCCGATAGTAGAGAGTGTTTTCTTGTCAATCAAGTTAATTAAGGTATAGTCCTCTGCACAACTATGAACACTTTTTGACATTTTGTAAAAAACAAGTAAGCCTGAACAGAAAATATGGTCATTTATTTTTTGCTGTTTTGCCAGGCTAAGAATCATCAAGAGTTTACTATCAAGTTAGCTTGATCCTCCTTTCTTTTGTAGAGATCAAGGTGTCTCTCACAGGATTGTCCAAGTTTAAGGAGGGAGTTTCTAAAATATGGGAACTGCTGTCTTTGCGAAAAGGCATCAGCCTTCATTTGCAAGAAATTAGAATAGATTATCCGAGGAAACGAAAAGGCAATCATTTCTGGCAGTGAAAACAAAAAAACTGAGCTGGACTCCAAGGGAAACCATCAGTGAAGTGGAGAGAATGGATCAAATGGAAGACTTAAAGATAAGTCGTAATTTTCAAGGAGAAAGAAATTTCATTTCATTTCAGTAAAATTGATTGTGGCATAAAAATTTCCTCAGCTGAGTTGTAATTCGTCAGCTTCCCCGGATTTTTATACTAGTTCTTTGAAGAACATTGACAAAGACTGCAAAAACTTTTTTTTTTTCAATTCTGGAGTTAGTGATAACAATTGATGACATGTCATGTGATACCTATTATGCTCACCTGCCTATTAAAACATATTGTTATTGATTTAAAAAAATAAATAAAATAAAATAAAATATCCTACCTGTGCTTATACTAAAGCTACATTTTTTTTATCAATTCATGATTGTTTTGTTTTCATTTTTTTTCCTCACTACTGGTAATTTATTACTCTGCCAAACATTTTTTTTATCAATTCATGATTGTTTTGTTTTCATTTTTTTCCCTCACTACTGGTAATTTATTACTCTGCCAAATAATTATATAGCTTAAATAAATAATATATGATGATGATGACAATGATTATTATTATGATACAGCCACCAAATGGTCTAGTTTGGAGTCTAACTGCTATATAATTAATAAAGAACAGGACTCCATATCACTAGCATATCCATACTTAAGCTTGTCCAATTAGGAAAATATTTCAGTTAATAAATTTTATATTAACAAGATTTGGCTTCATTCAACTTTGGAGCTCATCTGAAATTTTTGGTTTAATTTTTTCGTAATTGGACAACATGGAGCCTACTATATATATAAGAGATACAAAGATTCCAAGGCATCTTTATATGTATGTTACTAAAGCATATTATAAATTTTAAGCCTTATAACCTCAACATAAGATGGATCATTTTCCCTTAACTCGCCTTAACTCGCACAAACTCGCAACTGATAGGCGAGCTCAATTTTTCCTTATCTCGCCTTAACTCGCCTAAACTCGCATTAGCTCACACAATCTCGCGGCGAGTTAAGGTCCCAGAGTAGGCTTTACTCTCGTTTGGATAACCTCAAAACCCACCAACGAACCCATACTGGGGAGAAACCGTACGAATGCAACCGCTGCGACAAAATCTTCACCAAAAAATCGCGTCTCAATCGTCACCTGAAAGCACACGACAAACAAGCTGCCGAAAGGGCGTTTACTTGTAATACGTGTGGAGAAACTTTTAACAACCGCGCCCCTTACAACGCTCATGTACGCACCGCTCATCAATAACCCGCCGCTGCCACTAACAGGAAACGATCCACCGCTAAAAACACAGACGCACCTGCTGCCAAAAAACACAAGAAGTCCGCTGATCCTGGTACTTCACCAACTACACCGCAAACCTCAGCGCCCGGGTCTAGCTGGCAAGAAGATCCTGTTCTCATTCCTTCGAACCGTATTCCTGCCGCAGAGGAAAATATCACCGACACGTACCGTCAACACTGGCCCCAGATCCGTACCCGATCTAGACGCCGTAACCGTTTACAAGACTGGTACAATTTCCGCCTGTCCACGATCAGTCCTACCGCTCTCCGCGAACAACTGAACCGCATTTTTGCTGATCAGCCTACTGTGTTTAAAGTGAACTTTTCCTTTGGTTTTATTCTCCGTAACACAGAAACCGGCGCCCTCCAGTATCACCATCCATCCGCCAACAACAACCTGGTGCTAGAACAGCCGCTCCTGATTTCAAGTCCAGACGATTTAGAGCGCCTATATCAGCAGATAGCGGAGATCGATTACTTGGAGTGGGTGCGACAGCAGAGACCAAATTCAAAATGGGTCGTGGATCTCGTGACGAATGTTACCTGGTTTGTTTGGAAGATTCGAGACCACCCGATCGGCCGTGGCAAATATCTACCAGGTTATATCGTTGACAACTTGAGAATCACCCCACTCGATCGAAACATTCAAAGAGGCAAACCGTACGAAGATAACCTCTGTTTCTTCCGCTGCCTGGCTCTCTACAACGGTTGCCATACTAAGAACCTAGAGAGAGATACCAAGCACTATTACCAACAGTATCGAGACGCTGGCATATCCAAAAAGAAGTTCCATGGGGTCAAGTTGTCCGAACTAGTCGACCTAGAAAAACTGTATGAAGTGAATATTCAAGTATACAGTCTAGCGCCTACTCAGAGCCAGAGTGAAGACGATGACAATGAAGAAAATACTCCCGAGATTGCCGCCACCCTGCTCCGCCGCTCACATCGCCATTACTCCAGCACGCTTTACTTGAACTTGTACGAAAACCATTTCTCATATATTAAAGACCTGGCCCGGTACAGTAAATCCTTCTGCTGTTCAAGATGTGGCAAGTACTGGAAGAAATCGTCCAGACTGAATAGACACGAAAAGACCTGTGACGGCAAAGTCCAGCTGAAGTACCCAGGCGGAGCTTACCATGCCCCTAAAACTATCTTTGAAGAATTAGAAGACGAAGGTATTGTCGTCCCTGAAGAATGGCGGTACTTCCCTTACCGCACCACCTTTGATTTTGAATGTTACTTTGATAAAGAGAAAGCTCAAGAATTAAATAGTACTGAAAAGTTAACCTGGCAATCCGCCCATGTGCCCTTAAGTGTGAGTGTATGCAGTAACGTGCCTGGTTACCAAGCACCTAAATGTTTCGTGTCAGAGGGAGATTCAGACTTACTTCTTGAAGAGTTTGTGCAGTACCTCACCAGGATTAGCACCAAAAGTTCATCCCTACTCCGCCAAAGGTACGCAGAAGTATTTGAAGCTCTTAAAACCGCAAGAGGCCCGAATAACAGTGAACCTCACGAAGAACGATTAGCGCAAATACTCGTAGACATCCATGAAGGAAATGTAGAGTCTGACAAAGATGAAAATAGCGAAGAAGAGAGGGAAGATCAAAGTAGAGACATTAATTTAATGGCGAGTGATAATGAAGAGGATGAAGAAGAAATTGAACCGGAGAATGAAGAAGACCGCGCCTTTCTCGATGATGAAATACACGAACAGGAAGACGTCTCGTTTTACAGAAGATTGAACGTTGAAGTGAACAGAGAAAGAAGACAGCAACTGAGACAGGCGCGGAACCAGTTAGAAGAGTTACAAGATATTGTAGGTGGTTCAGAGGACGTCAGTGACCACAAAGTCCTCAGTCAACTAGAGGAGAAACTGAACGCCTATATACAAGAACTGCCAGTGTTGGGTTTCAATTCCGGAAAGTACGACCTGAATGCCTCCAAAGAATTCCTCTTCCCGTACCTCATCAAGCATCAGCCCATCAAATTTACTGTGAAAAGGAATAATAATCATATGTGTATCAAGACAGACTATTTAAAGTTTCTGGACATCTCTAATTATCTCGCTCCAGGGTTCAGCTACGATCAGTTCCTGAAAGCGTACGAGTGCGAACAGACCAAGGGATTTTTCCCATATCAGTGGGTCGATAAATTGCACAAGCTAGACGAAACATCGCTGCCCCCTCACGCTGCCTTCTACTCAAGTCTGAAGAACGCTAACATCACGGGGGAAGAGTACCGATACTGCCAGCAAGTATGGGAAGACAATGAAATGTCCACCTTAAAAGATTTCTTGGTTTGGTACAATAATATGGATGTAGTACCTTTCCTCGAGGCAGTAGAGGAGCATTGCCTGAGCATTTGAAAGAGAAATTCAGTGAAATGTGCCCCATCTTCAAAAACACCAACATCAGCCGCGATGATATTGGAGACTTCATGAAAGCGTACGCAGAAGAGCATAACATCATGGCTCAGCCTCGGCGAAGCTTGATTGGAAGTATGAAAGGAGAAAAAATCTTGTTGGCCACACCTCTACTCAAATGGTATTTAGAACACGACCTGGAAGTCACCNGGTTCAGAGGACGTCAGTGACCACAAAGTCCTCAGTCAACTAGAGGAGAAACTGAACGCCTATATACAAGAACTGCCAGTGTTGGGTTTCAATTCCGGAAAGTACGACCTGAATGCCTCCAAAGAATTCCTCTTCCCGTACCTCATCAAGCATCAGCCCATCAAATTTACTGTGAAAAGGAATAATAATCATATGTGTATCAAGACAGACTATTTAAAGTTTCTGGACATCTCTAATTATCTCGCTCCAGGGTTCAGCTACGATCAGTTCCTGAAAGCGTACGAGTGCGAACAGACCAAGGGATTTTTCCCATATCAGTGGGTCGATAAATTGCACAAGCTAGACGAAACATCGCTGCCCCCTCACGCTGCCTTCTACTCAAGTCTGAAGAACGCTAACATCACGGGGGAAGAGTACCGATACTGCCAGCAAGTATGGGAAGACAATGAAATGTCCACCTTAAAAGATTTCTTGGTTTGGTACAATAATATGGATGTAGTACCTTTCCTCGAGGCAGTAGAGGAGCATTGCCTGAGCATTTGAAAGAGAAATTCAGTGAAATGTGCCCCATCTTCAAAAACACCAACATCAGCCGCGATGATATTGGAGACTTCATGAAAGCGTACGCAGAAGAGCATAACATCATGGCTCAGCCTCGGCGAAGCTTGATTGGAAGTATGAAAGGAGAAAAAATCTTGTTGGCCACACCTCTACTCAAATGGTATTTAGAACACGACCTGGAAGTCACCAAAGTGCACCAAGTGGTTGAATTCACCCCTTAGCCCTGTTTAAAACCCTTTGGAGACGCTGTGTCCGACGCTAGGAGAGCTGGGAATGCGGATTCTAGGAAGGCCATTATTGCAGATACCATGAAACTGGTAAGTTTTTGTTTCATTCTTTCATTCATAAAGGGGAGGGAACGATATACATTTTCACGAATAGAAAAAACTTATATCTTTGTTTATCTCTCAGGTGGGCAATTCAGGCTATGGTAAGACGATCACTAACCAACTGAAACACAGAAACGTGGAGTATTGCAGTGACGCGGAGGCCAGTCGAAAAGTCAACACCCCACTGTTCCGGAAAGTGGATAATATCACAGAAGACAATTACGAAGTAGAGTCTTGTAAGAAAACTATTAAGGTAAACTTACCTATTCAAGTCGGTTTTTTTGTGTATCAGTATGCTAAGTTACGCATGCTGCAGTTTTATTATGATTTTCTAGACAAGTATCTCGATCGCAGCGATTTTCAAATGTGTGAAATGGATACGGACAGTGCGTATATCGCTATTGCTGGGGAGAGTGTGGAAAGTTTAGTCAAACCAGATTTGAAAGCAGAGTTCGAAGCCGATAAATGCAACTGGTTTCCCCGTACGGATACACCCGAGCATAAAGCCTATGATAAGCGAACCCCGCGTCTTTTTAAGGTTGAGTGGGAGGGACAAGGAATTATCGGGTTGTGTTTAAAAACCTACTACTGTTTTGGGGCCAAAGATAAGTTTTCTTGCAAAGGAGTTAACAAGAAATGTAACGAGATTAACAAAGACAAGTATTTACAAGTGTTGCTCACAAAACAGAATAGTTCAGGTGTTAACAGAGGTTTTCGTGTTGTTAACAACACCATGTACACTTATGAGCAAGTTAGGGATGCATTTTCGTATTTTTACCCGAAACGTTAAGTTCTCGCAGATGGAGTTAGCACTACTCCACTCGATATTTAAGTTTTCAAGTTTGTAAAAAATTGATTTTGTAAATAATTTTCGTTTTCTCAAGTTTGCGTATATATTACTCTCAAAATAGTTTTCCGAAATATTTATATAAGATCGCCTCTAGTTTTAAATAGTATTTTTGCGTAGCTTTTCACGGATGTTTGTACATAGGAAATTAGTTTGTAAATAAATCATTGGTTGAATTTAATCGTGGCTTGTTTCCTGACTCGACGCGCACGACTTACACGCGAGATCTCCACGCGCGCCCAGGGGAAAAAACACAGGGCTAAAAAGGTGCCCTTTCTGCCCTTTCTGCCCGATCTGCCCTTGAAAATCAACAATAAATTTCGTGTCGCAAATAGTTTTACTTAGTTGGTATCTAACATTCGTCCTGTCAGCATGAAGAAACTAAAATGTAAACACTGCCCCATACCGGGATGTCATTCGAAATTTTTAGTTCGATTAGCAAATCATTTAACTCAAGTCCACGAGTTATCGGAAATAGAACGAAAATATTGGCTTCAATTTGCAAAATTACAAAATACCAATGCGATTCGTGTGTATGACAAGAAGGCTGAACCCAAAACAATTTTTTCTATAAATGAGAATACGCACAAATCAGTTTATCAGTTGTGATCATGGACCCGAGATCGAAACATCCTTTCCCCGCGCTTGTGGCCGACCCAACATGTTGTGGGAAAAGTCAGTTTGTAAAACGTTTACTAGAAGCAGGAGAAGACATGGCTGATGGAGCCCCGGAAAATATCATCTGGTGTTATAGCATGTATCAACCAGCCTACGATGAGATGCTTAAAACTATTTCGAACATTATGTTTGTTGAAGGAGTGCCTGGTGATCTGGAAACCCTAATTAATCCCTCTATTCGGAATTTAGTCGTTATTGATGACTTAATGCACGAGCTTAGCAATGATCAGCGAATGACTAATTTGTTTACCAAGGGCTGTCACCATCGCAATCTCAGCGTGATCTTTATTCTCCAAAACATTTTTCATCGTGGAAAAGAACTGAGAGATATGAGTTTGAATTCTCATTACTTAGTGGTGTTCGAAAGCCCGCGTGATAGCAGTCAGGTCAATCATTTAGCAAGACAAATGTTTCCCGGTCATGTCAAATACATGCAAGAAGCGTTTGAGGATGCAACAAAAAGGCCCTATGGTTATTTATTTTGTGATCTTAAACCGAAAACACCCACCGACTTCCGGCTGCGTACGAATATTTTCCCCGGGGAGACTCAGTACGCTTACGTCAGAAAAGTATAAAAAGCGTGAACCACATCACATTTCTTCAGTTGAGGATAACACAGCGACTGAGAAAGAACCACGATTTTCTGAAGCTGCTTGTCAAGTGTACCCCAGCTCAGCGTAAAGCCATTTTGAAGGTGGCAGACGACGCTTTAGTAAGAACCATTTGTGAGTGTGTTTTAAACGTGCTAAAAGGAACAGTGCCTGTCAGTAAGCCAGCCAAGAAAAAACTTTTACCTCACAAGAACTCTTTGATCGCTTTAGCCGAAAAAAGTACACCGCTCGATAAGAAAAAGAGATTGTTGGTACAACACGGAGGAAATTTTTTAAGTGTTTTGCTACCTCCCGTTCTGCGTGTGTTAAGTTCGATTCTTACCTAAAATGAATCACACAAAGCGTATGGTTCTCGTGCCCGAGAACACCTTGGAAAGATTACAACAGCGCCAGCAGATTTTAACCCCACCCGTCACACAAACTCTGAGAAACTTGGATAGTGAAATGACCGATATTTTATCCAGTAAAGAACTTGATGATGAACAAAAAGCTAGGCTTTACAATCAAGTGTTGCAGCGGTACTTGACTTATTACGATCAGCGAAAAGGTCAACCTCTTCATGTGAAAATATCAACCTCCAAAGCAGTAGAAACACCTAAACCAGAAGAAAATGAACAACCTTCGGAAGAACCTGTCCCGGAAAAATTCACTTCATCAGCCGTAGAGAAAGAGGTCATGAAAAGTGTACCCAAAATTTACAAAGCTGGGGCTAGACAATTGTTGGATAAAATTAAAGAGCATCAAGATGTATTGCATTGGAATGATAAAGGAGAGCTTTTGTATGAAACCAAACCCATTCCAGGTTCTCATCTGGTGGACCTAGTCAACGACACATTGCGCCACCGCAAAGGATTTGAACCAGTGGGATGGTCGGTGTTTGCGAGGGGTCTGGCCCGAATAAATGTCCCGGAAAATCTAGTGCGTAATCCACAGAGGCAAAGTGCTGTTCGAGAATTTAAAGCACGGGTGAGAGAGGAACCCCTAACAGTCCTTCCCGTTGGCTACCTAGCCCACCTGTGACGGTATCCCCCGTGAAAAAACAGCTGCGAAGAAATGCGAGTCCACGCCCTGAGGCTGTGCGCTGGTTACGGTTATAACATCACCACAAGAGACATTATCATTATTGTAAATCATCTCTTTATTTTGTTCACTCAATAAAAGATGTTGAAACGGAATTACAAGGTGTTTATTTATTGAGCTTTGTGCTGTGCTTGTGCTCTTTGCTTGTTTACATCAGTGCGATATTTCGGAAGACTTATAGGAAAATGTGTTTCAATAAATCGCTTGACAAGACTATCATTTTTACGTGTGTTATTAGAAAAACGATGCACAATTGTACTCATACTTATTTGCCGACTACGATATAAAGCAAAATACAAACAGTAATGTCCGCAGACTTTGGAATAGATGCTCTGTAATGTCACGGTATTAAAAATCCACTGGTTAGAATTGTTGTTTAAAAAGGTAGTAAATGTTCCTGAATATTTGCTGGGAGGTGCTCCGTAACAATCGAAAAATTCTCCCTCTTGCTCCTTGGTGAAATAAAACGCCACCCAATGCGAACCTGGCTTGTGACTCGTATCCACATTGGCAATGTATAAGGCTGGGTATTGCGAAACACTTGCAGGTAGCTTGTCTGAGGGATACACGCCTTGAAACACACCTCGTGTAAATTTGTCCTTTCTCAAAATAAGGGTCAGTTGAATGGTGTCCATTTTTAGTTTGTGTAGTCGTAGAGAACGTTTCGGTTTGCGTCGACCTCAATCACGTTTTGAAATTCAGCGTAGACGATAAGGTTAACCGTGTTGGCAAGTGCTTCCGAGGAATGAAGCTCCAAGCGCAGGTTTCCTTGTTTTATAAGCTCAAAATGATCTCCAGGGCAGTGATCTGGGGTCAAATCAAATGCGAATAAGGTGTAACCAGAGCCGTAATCACTTCTATTTATCTGATTGCCTGTATCCTGGGAAAGCTTTCCAATACCAGAGAAAAGACTTTGATAGCCGGCTATCACATTTTGTCCACCAGCGGCGTCAAACTTCAGGAACAAAGGTTTTCGGGGGATTTGTTTTCCGTCCACGTACACACCCACTTGAGTTAAATCTTGGTGATTGAAGTTGAAGGGGTTGGTACGGTAACTCCCATTGTAAGCCTTGGGAATTTGACCCAAAAAGATGTTGTCAGGGTTAAAACTGCTAAATCCTCTTGGAATAGAGAGTACTTTACAGTCTATTCTGCGAATGGGGTACTTGGCGCTGGAGTGTTTTAGCCCAGCTGCATGGCCTAGAATGATAGAAGAGGCAACCTTGACTCTGCGTACAAACAAGATGGCTTCTGTGATAACCACTTTGAAATCAGCTCCGGCTGCTGAGGACACAAGACAAAACACATTCTTGGCTCGGTTTAGTTTGATTCTTAAATTAACTCCATTGAGCATCAACCGTTCTTGAAAGAATATATCACTGTTAATGGGTCCCATCATATCCACCGTATGACTCTATTTAATAAACTCATAGCGAGCCTTTAATCCAAGGTTTGCTTCATCGTCTGCAGCCAAGGGGTTCACTACATTCATCTTTCCAGCAGTATCTTTGTAAAACATGGCCATAGAAAGTTGACTTGTTTTAGCTTCTTCCCCGTAGTTCAGCAAAGACTC